AAAAATCCAAAAGAAAAAGAAGCCAAAAAGAAACACACAAAAAAAAAGCCCTGTTCCAATACCCGTCATGGACCAGACCACTATCTGCAACAGGACTGTTTCAGACAAGGTCTCAGCACAGCAGGCCACAACAGACAACTTATTAAAACAAAAAGAAGATTTTAAAGTAGATTTGGCATCATCCTGTAAAAAAAGCTTTGATGCACATGGTTTGGATCCAGAACATTGTATGGCAAATGGCAGAACTGAAAATGATGTGAGGTCAACCAATGAAAGACCAGTGTCTGAAAAAGATAGCAGTATTACGGGGGGACATGTGGTACCAAGCCCTGTAGTAAGTGTAGAGGTAAAGTGTGTGTCCATATCTAAGGTGGAAGTTGGTCCATTGTGTACAACAGGGTTTTCTATTCCTCATTCGCCGTCCACTATACAACCTAAAGTTCAGATTGAAGGAACAGTGGCAAGTATGATTAAATTACACTCAAGCTGCCCACAATATTCCAAGATTCCTGGCATGGCGTCTGTTCATCAGTCTCAAGTTATTACTTGGCCTGCTGATTGCAGGTCATTGTTTAAGGAGTTACCCATAAACATACTTCCTTCACCCCTTTCTTCAGATTATGTTAGTTCCTTTTATGGGGCTAGTACAGGGATTGCAAGTATGGTGGACTTAACTCCGACCTGCCCCAGGTCTGCAAGTATTCCTGGATTCCCATCTGCTTTAAAACGTGAGCCAAATATGACTTGCCTTTTACCTATATGTCCCAGAGTCTGCAGCATTCCAGGTTTAGCTGCTGCTGGATCAGCGACCAGATATGAAGATATGGTTTGGGACAGATGTTCTCTATGGAAGAAACCATTGCAGATAAAAGAAGCATTTATTTCGCAAATGTCATGTGTTCAGGAAAGATCTGTGGGTGATACTAAAGCCATGGTGACTATGTTGCCAACATGTTGTACTAGGGCCAGTGTTCCAGGGTTTCCATCTGCACGTCTGCAAAATGTTTCAAATACTCCAAATATGGTCAGTCTACTCCCAACATGCCCCAAGCAGTCAATGATTATAGGTATGCCAAGTAATCACAGATCTATTGTATATAATGATACATGGCATATTTTGAGGGAATGTATCTTAGACAGACCATTGAGCGGTTATATTGTTCTGGTTCAGGGAAAGTCATATGAGGATAAAGAACATTTTAATCATATGGTATATATGTTGCCCTCATGCCCGTCGAGAACTTGCCTTGTAGGTATGCCCACAGCACCCAAGAAGTTTTTACCAAGTATTGTTAACCTTGCACCTATATGCCCTAAACAGACACAAACTGTTGGTATGCCATCTAAAGATCAAAACAATTCTGAGAACAAAGATTGGCGTGCCATGAAACGGTTCATCAACAGAAAACCAGAGAAAATAACACCAACTTACATTGAGCAATGGATACCAAAAGAAATTCCTAATGATATGGTAGCTATATTGAGAAGCTGCCCACAAAAAGCCGACGTTGTTGGCTTACCCTCTGCTCCACGACAAAAACCCAGTATGGTTAACGTAATGCCTTCATGTCCCATACAAAGTAGGGTCCCTGGTTGGCCTTCAAAAACTGGACAAAAACTTGGTTTGTCCACATGCAATGAATGGTTTGCGGATAAAGGTTTACAGTGCGAGAATCCATTAATCAAAAAGGAAGTGCACATTCTGAATTCAGTTTTGTGTTTTGATAAGAACACTACTCAAAGTATGAGTGCAATGTTACCCTCTTGCCCTGAGAATGCTAGGGTCCTTGGGTTTCCCTCTGCTCTGACATTAGCAGATGGTACAACTATGGTGAATGTATTGCCTAGTTGTGCAAAGGAATCTAGAATTTCTGGAATGCCAAGCAGAGACACCAGCAAAAAATTAAGGTGGCCAATGGAAAGTAAGCCACTGCTACTCCCTAGGAAATTATCTGCAGTAATGTTAGATTTACAGGATGTTAATATGTTCTATTCTGATAGACATACACTCATAAATATGGTATCAATATTGCCCTCCTGCCCACAGACAGCCTGTTTACCAGGTTTTCCATCAATGCCATGTCAAGTGTTGGCAGATATACCAAATATGATAACTCTGCTACCTACTTATCCAAGACATTCTAGGGTTCGTGGAATACCCTCTCTACTCTACAGTGAGGCAGAATGGAGTGTAGACAAAAGCCCAATTTGGGAAAAACCATTAAGAAAGCCAGGTAGACTGTCAGTAATAAATGACCATAAAATGCATTTCAAAGAAAAGGCGTTGTTAAGAATTATGGTATCAATGTTGCCACCCTGTCCGAAACATTCATGTATACCTGGGATTCCCTCTAAGGCTTTAAAGAGACCAGGGAAAGTTGTGAGGGAAGAAGCTCCCAGTATGTTAAAATCCTTGGCCACTTTTCCAAAACACAGTAACATTTCAGGTCTACCTGCAAAGAATATTGCAAAGGACAATGGCTGGTATATGGATAAGGATGTAGTTTGGGAAAACACATTCAATAGAAGGATTGAAAATGTACCTGTCAAAGAAATGTCATATAGGGACAAATCAATAATGCTGAGTATGCTTCCATCATGTCCACAACAAGCCCTGAACCCTGGGTTTCCATCTGCTCCACGATCCAAAGCTGTTGATGACATTGTGGAAAAACATCCAGAAATGTTACAGTTGCAGTCATGTTGCCCACAACAGTCACATATCATTGGTTTCGCCTCAAGAGTTTCAATTATTTCTGATTCTAAAGTAGTGGGATGGCCAGTGGTGACAATTAAGACACCAGGGGATCTTTACACCACAGATAATTCTAACAAAGATATAATAATGGCAAGCGTTCCTCTTAAACGTCCTCTTACAAAAATGTCTCTCAGTTCTGGCCTCACAGCAGTTCCACCACCTGGTGTAAACCGGCTACCAAATATGATAAATATTGTGCCATCTTGCCAAAAGAAAGCTTCTGTTCTTGGGATACCATCAACACATGTGCATCATTCAGAACAGGGTTGGCCAGGAACTAAGATAAGTGTAAAGCAGAGGACAAACCTCATGAGTTGTAAGCTTTCACTGAAAGAACAGCAAAGAATGGAGATTGAGTCATCAACCTGTCCTATCAAGGCCATTGTTGAGGATTTACCAGCATCAAATTCAGAAATTCAAGTGCACCAGCAATCCTTCATAGTTAATGGGAGTAACATATTGTGGGATGATGCCAGTCCAACTAGATTAGATCTTGACACAAAGAAAACAAAATCGGATGTTTGCTCAACTTTGGAGGAACATAAAGATGAACGGGGCTTTTGGATACCGATTAAGGAACAAAAAGAAATAGCTGTTCTAGAAAAAGGGTGAGTGAGATGGAGATTTGAAGTTGGAGTTCTCTCTGTGATGTCAGCGGGTTAGTTTTTGAAACATTTGCCTTTTCAAACGTCTTTTTCAGAAATTTGCATTGCAGAATGTGGCACTCCACTCCTGACATGCCACTTATCTTGAGTGTTAGGAAGAGGTGGGTTGCCTTGGCTTGCACTGTGATGCAATGATGTGATGCATAATGCATGCCTCATCTCAACACAATATGACTGCAAAATGTGCATTTGTTGTGTGTCATACTTTGAGTAATTCTGTGGTTTATACCGTTTTTTCCTCTTGTTACTTGTATTGTTTCAGTCCCAGAGGTCAAAAGCATATTCAAGAAAAACAGATATTAATGTATGAAAAGGGCAAAGAAGTAGAAACTGCTGTAGTGAGCGTGAAGGGTAATGGTATCATACCCTTAGAAGAGTCAAATACTCTACATACAACTTTGCCGGTAGAGTCTTTGGACATCATTCCTAAACCTTATGACACTGTGGATCAAGGGTGTATTAGATATTCTGATAGAGGGTAACTGTGAGAGGCTAATACACAGCCTCTGCTCTTGCCAGTTTGATATAGGTGTATTGTTGTTTGTTGCATGGCTAATTGTTATAATGTCCACTGAAGTTGTAGCAGTAGTGCAAGTGGGCAACATGGTTTCACAAAAACTATAATGGCAGTAAAACAAAAGTGCAAGTTAGTTTATAAATCCATCCTTAAATAAATCGGAATAGAAGTCAGTTTTCAGCAAATCATGAATTATTAAAAACATTATTGATAGTTTTTTGTTATTTGAAGAGTTTTAAATGTTAAAAATTAAGATTTTCTACATAACTCGGGAGGTAAAAACTAAGTTATCCCAGAGATGTATAACAACATCCAACATCTTAATAAAAAAAAAAATTTCAACAGAAAGACAATAATGACTTTTAGGAACTATGCTTTTTGATATACTTTATTTGTTGATCAAGTCTAATGTTGAAGGAATGTTAACTCGGTACTAATGCTGGCTTTACTGCATTGGCTGTTAAATGTAGTAGTTTATTCAACACAAATGTGTGAAAACTGTGGCATGATGTTTTGTTTGCAGTGCAGCTTTTTTAGCTCAAGTGAACGGTTGTTTTAATACAGGCTGTTTGGAGTGAATATCATTTGTTAAAATTGCATGCTTGAGATTTGATTAGATTATTTGTCTTAAGAATGATGATGAGAAGTAATATACAGTTTTTTATCAGTCATTGCTATCATGTATGAAATAGATGTATCTTTCTAAATAATTCATTGAGGTACACTGTACCAGGCTTGGATTAAGTTGTGATAAATGTATGTAGAATTACAATATAGCTTATAGAAAGGCTCTATTATTTGGTATCTTTCAACAATACACTTTGACCTTTATTTTACCTTCTCTTCAGACATGAACACTTGGGTTCACTACAGCCATCATGCCCAATTGTTGCTGGGGCAGAAGAACCCCCATCCCGAACCAAAATAAATAATGCTGAACAGCGGTTACAAAGACATCCAACAAACATGACTATACTGTTGGAAGAGCTACCAAAGTCGACTGCAATAAAATGCTCTACAGACAAGATCATATTATGGGAGGAGCTACCAAAGGTGACTACAGATGTTTCTAGAAAAGCATCAGAGACTGAAATGAAAATGATAAAAGACATGGTCAGTGTCTCTTCAATGATGTTGTACACTGGTAATGAATTGAAGACACGTACAGAACCTGGGATTGCAGATCAATTAACAATTTGCCCAACAGCGAGCGGCATATTTGAATCCACAGCAACTGCTAAACAAACAGATCAAACCCAGCTGGAAAGGGAGTCTACTTTCGAGACGCCATCAAAGGATAAGGCAATGGGAGGAAAAACGTTTGCCTGTCCACCCACACAATGTGTGCCATCTTGCGTGAAGACTGAAACTGAATACAAACAGTCCACTTTCTCCGAAGTCTGTCCCAGTCTCACAAGAATTGCTGGCATGCCGTCTAAATTGCCTGTAAAAGAGAAACACTGGCTCCTCGATCCAAAGCCAATCTGGGAGAAACAATCAAAAATAAATGTAATATTCATGCCATATGCATCAAAGGATGATACAAAGGACACAAAGGAAATGGTCTTAATGCTACCCTCTTGTCCCAGAGAGGCCAAACATCCAGGGTTCCCATCTGCACCACAAAACAGTTCAAATATGGCGGATAGTTACCCTGGTAGTTCAAGTGTGTCCAGTAAAGCTGGTTTACCATCTATCAGTAACAGATCATTGGTATCTCAACAGGAACCACTTCTGCAAAAGAAAACTGACCTTGTTGTCGTACCAGCGTCAATAAAAGAAGAGAACATTGAACTAATGAGAGCTTTGTTACCAACCTGCCCAAAATATTCTTGCATACCAGTCATCCCTTCAATTCCACAACATACGATAGCACATTGCGGATCAGATATGATGAGCCTTTTCAGCTCTTGCCCCAAAACTTCTTGTATTGAATGTGTTCCATCATTAAAAGAACATATGAGCAAAAGCTGGTCTACAGATCACAAACCTTTAGTGGAAATATATTCAAAAATACATGTAGTCATGATTGAAGAGAGACCTTACCATGAAGACATGAGGGCCATGTCAGCTTTAGCTCCAACTTGTCCAAAAGAAGCTTGTATCCCTGGATTTCCTTCGGATCAGGAACCTACAGTAAGCTATAACAGATTTAGTAGGGTCAATCTCCTTCAATCTTGCCCAGCTACCTCAAGTATGGTGGGTTTTCCTTCGATGCAGAACACTGACAGCAAATATTGGAACACTGTTTATCAGCCATTATGTGAGAAGCAAATGAAACGGGAATCTGTATTACTACTGGGGGACGCTAACATGGACAAAGACATGAAAGGAGTTGTTTCTCTTGCACAAAGTTGCCCAAGAGAATCACTAATCCCGGGCTTTCCCTCTGTCCCCAAACCGAGGAAGATTGATGTTGTTGACATGACAAATATGGTCAGCCTTTCAAGCTCATGCTCACAAGCATCACAAATACCCGGATTTCCATCATCTCATACTTCAAAAGATTGGAAAGTGAGCAGGAAACCATTATTTGAACCACATTTGAAAGAAAAGCAGGTGTTGTTGATTGACAAATGTGTAGTTCAAAAGAAATCAATGAAAGCAATGGTTTCTCTTGTACCATCCTGTCCAAAAGAGGCACGTGCACCAGGATTTCCTTCTAATCCAAATTACAGAACTGTGTGTAGTGAACCAAATATTATCAGCATTTTTACATTGTGCTCACAAGCCTCCAAAATACCTGGATTTTCTTCAGTTAATGTGGATATGAGTGTAGGATGGGTAGCAGAAAAGGGGTCATTGCTGAAGAAGTTACCAAAGAAGAGGGTCATATTTGACACACCAAATGGCAGCAAAAAGATAATGAAGAATATGGTTTCCTGTGTACCATCCTGTCCTAAAGTGTCAAGTATCCCTGGTTTCCCATCTATTCCAAATCCAAAAAAGGTGTATTGTGGACTAAATGTAGTCAACCTCCTTCCCTTGTGCCCCTTGGTGTCTATCATACCTGGATTTCCATCAGTCGAAGATCACAAGGAAGAAGGATGGGGTGCCGAACTGGGTTCATTGATGCAAAGACCTCAAAAGAATATTCCGTTTCTGAATAACAGCTCACCAATTAATGTAGACAAATCCAAAAACATGTATGCTTTGGTTCCTTCTTGCCCAGTATCATCAAAGATTCCAGGCTTCCCATCCGTCTCTCAATACAATATGCTGAGTCTTGTACCTATTTGCAATAGTGTGTCCAATCTCCCTGGATTTGCATCCTTTGTAGGGGCCTCAATATTACAATGGCCTCCTAATCCACATGCATTGTGTGATAAGCCTATAAAGAGCACTGTTTTTGTGATACACAGTCCAAATCAAGATGTAGTAACTGCGAAGACGATGTTTGCCTTAGCACCATCTTGCCCAGAAGCACCCAGAATCCCTGGCTTCCCCTCGGCACCTCAAACTAAATCCAAGATTGAACCCAATATGATACGCTTTGTACCTAGCTGCTCTATTGCTTCAAGTCTCAAAGGGTTTGCGTCCATGACTACACACCCAAGCACAGGGTGGCTAAATGAAACAAAACCAATTTTGATAAAGCTTCGGGAGAAGAGGGCACCGATGATGATGTCACTTGCTGGACAGGATGAGCTAAATTGCTACAATATGAAGGGCATGGTGACATTAGTGACAACCTGCCCTAAAGAGGTCAGAGCATGTGGTTTCCCTTCTGCTCAAGTTGTGAACAGACCACCAAACATGGTCAGCTTATACACATCTGCACCATGTGTTTCATGTATCCCAGGATTTCCATCAGCGAGGAGGCTTAGTTCTGAATGTACAAATATACCATCTAAGACAACACACAGTAAGCCACTGTTTGAAAAGCAGCAGATTGAGAAGCATCTAGTCATTGCAAATCTTCAAGCCAAAGAAAAACATGAACAAGATGAACCAAAGTATATGGTAGCAATTGTCCCATCATGTCCGAATTTAACTCGAATCCCTGGGCTCCCCAGCATTTCCCAATTGAGTCCAACAGAGAAGGAAACATTGACTATTCCATTCCCTTGTTGTACAGAAAGGGTTACACCACATGAATTGCCTCATGTACAGTCAACTCAGTCGCACCTCAAGGACCCAATAACTCCTGGTGTTCCCTCTACATCTTTTAGCCTCCCCAGCACAGAACTTGCAAATGGTGAGACTTTCAGTGTGCATTTTCAGGTCACATTCTTTTTTCTTTATCCTATCTTGTTTAGTGTATTTGACTATGTTTGCTTTCATGACAGAGGAGAAATTCAAAGGCAGTGCAAAGCAAAGCATAGACCTATTTGTAGATCATGGGTAAGTAAAAGAGCCCAGTGCTCTTGCATTGTTTGCTGTGAAAGAGGTCAGTTTAGTGCTTGCCTAACATGGACTGTTTAGACCAATAAACCATTACTCTAGTGAATTAACAATACAGTGCATGGTAAATTCCTGTATTTCTGTGAAGTCTGTATTTCATTACATCTTTTATTGTTTTGCTTTCGTGACCTATCTGGATAATTCTTTAACATTCGATGTATCTGGGTCCTCAGCAAATCACACATAGAAAGAGGTGTTGCAGAGAAAGCCCAGACAAGGAAAAGAACATTGGACCCATCAGACCCAGCAGGAGTCTTGGATTGGGAAGTAGTGGAGGCAGAGGGAATAGTTACAGAAAAACAGACCAAATCCTTTTTGTCAGCAAAAGAGGAAGAGTCTTCAGGATTAGTAAATGTTATTGCGGGTGTTTTCCACAAAGGGTAAGTGTAGGAATGCTGTGAAATGAACTGTTTGCAGCATGCAACATAGTATGCATAAATCATTTTGTAACCCTACATTTCACGGCCCACTTGTCATACATTAAACTCATTCTATTTTTAAGTGCAGATTTCAAAGTTTTGGTTAATATTAATTTGGATACATTTGCATGGGAATTGATCCTACTTTCTCCGATACTTATTGTTTTATATAATTACCTACATGTAAATAGAAACTGTTGCTTTCACATGGTTCCAGGTTTCAATTACTTACTCCAATATCCATGTCTCACAGTTATGAAACAGTAGCATCCATTTTGGGGCCATCTGGCTCCGCTCTAGCTGAAGTGGAGCACCAACCGAAGGCTGTCTCTTCTATGGATCTGAAAGACAAGAGAGTGACCCCTTCAGATGAGTCTTCAAAGCATTTTGTGGACAACACTACTGCCATACAAAAGATAGAGGGCCAGTTTCAAGACGTTCCCCCCCAACATAACACCGAATATCTCACAAGTGCTGAGCCTTACATGTTGGACTCTCCATCACCTACCAGCGAAAGTGATGACGGGATTTCGGTTTGTTTAAACATGAAGAAATGGCCACCACTGACTGAGGCAGATATCTCTAAAATATCAGAGGAAGATGGTGAGCAAGTACAAGAGGCATTTCTTGATCATACAAAGGAGAGATCACTCACAGGGCACGACTCTGATCAAACACCTGTAGACGATGGAAGTTTGTTAGCAAGGCACCAGACTGAGACAGAACAGGATGAGGTTAGGACAGTGTCAACTTTTCCACAGCTGGATAAAGGGTGAGTGCTGGGGGACAATGACCCATTTAAGTGTTTGGTTGCACGGTGTGGTAGTTTACATTTTCTGCATTTTCTGCATAACATTGTCTCTTGTTCTGCTTATGAGCACTTACTCCTTCGGAAATCGTAATGGACAGCTATTTGTGATGGCAATAAAGATTGGCAATGTGACGTAGAATTGTAATTTTGCCTTTTTTGTTGCGTTGTACGTAGATGTGGTCTTTATGTCCTTTATGTGCTGCTTTGTATTTTCAATGAGGTATGCATATACACAAGTAAAGCTGAGTATTTACAATGAAAGACAGTTTTTCGCTTTGCAATGCGTAATAAGATTAGGATGCTGTCTTTCTGGTTTGGTTTGGATTATTTGGTTGGAAATGAGGTGCACCGTACAACTATGACAAAATAAAAAACAGCACTTTTTTAAGCTTCTCCTTTCTTTTCTTTAAGACCTCAACAAACACATATGGAAGGAGTTTCTGCCACTTCCCAGCAGCCTACATCAAATGAGTCACTGACAGGTACAAATGTTCACAAGGAGATGCCCATGGACAAGCCTGCAGGTTTTCAGGACATAAGTCCAATTGGACCACAAGCTGACTTTGCTGTCCCTCAGCGAGGCAGAAAGCCAAAGAGAAAAGTTCCAGACCCTCAGAAGAAAATGTTTGATCAGAAAGACAAAACAGTACCAGTACGACCTCTCCGACGGAAGGATAGTTTGACACCAGACCGCAAACATAAAACTGACAGTTTGACAGTCAAGCCCCTACCTGAGGTTGTTCCAGTCCAGTCTGAAGGAAGAAATGCTGCTGATGAGATACAACCTGCAACTGATCCATGTTGCAACCTCAACAAACAAGACACAAGCACTGCTCTTGATGTACCTCAGAATGCTCATGTTCAAGATGAACCAAACACAGGGGACTATAGGCAGAAAGAAGAAACAAAATCAGTTCAATCTATTGTTGTTGTTGCACCTCCTCGTGTGAAAAGAAGAGATAGCAGTTTGCCACCTGTAAAGCCTCCGAGGAGAAAAGGAAGTGTCACTAGAGACTCATCTGTTCGAAAAACTAATGACCAACAACATTTGAAAGCCCAAGTCAGTTGTTCTTTGAACACTACGGGTCCAGTTTCTTCTCAACCTTGTGAGAGTAGCTCTGGCGCTCCATGTACTGGAGAAGATTCTGTTGGGAGTGCCTCTCTCCAGACAGACGCAGAACTGGTCGGCTCAAAGCAAACCTCTTCTACCCCAGGATCGCCCAAGAAAGACAGTAATGCAACTGTCCAGGCCTCTTTTCCAAAGGAAATTGAGAGCATCACACCAAAGCAAGAGCCAGATACATTTTGTGCTAAGCAAACTGCTTATCTCTCCATTATCAAAAAGATACGTCTTCCAAAACGCAACAAGAAATTGACCTCAAGCAAATCTGGGAAAATTGAAACTGACGAGATGTCTGTAAAACCCGTCCAGATCGAAAACGCAATAGAAGAAATAAAGCAGACAAACAATGCTGGTGACGCATCTGTTGATAAAAGCAACACCACATATTGTCAGAAATCACAGGATGCATCAGAGATAGCAGAATCAGAAATGGGCAAACAAACAACCCTTCAAACCGTTACAGCTATGGCAAGCACGTCTACAGTTTCTCATGTTGAAGATGCAGAAAGGGAAGGGTGTCCTTCATCCCTTTCCTCAACAACTAAAGAATGGTCAATGGTGCAACACAGCAAAGGCGTCCCCTCTCCTCTGGGTGATAAACCTTCTACATCTACTGAAGAAGATGCTCCTGTAAAGTTGAGGAGAAGCAGGTTGATCATTGAAAGCATTGTTCAAGTAGAGGATGGTCATATTTCTGAGAAACCATCAGGAGCTTCAAGCTTGCCCGTACCGAAACCACGAGTAAAGAAACGTCTTAGTGGTTCCTTTCCAGATGACATTACAATCTCTGGTTCATCACCTTCCTGCCAGGAAGACAAAGTAACCGACAACACTTGTCTTGGATCAGTCCAACAGAATAAACAGTCAAGCTTGCCTGTGCCGTTGCCACGGGCCAAGAAACGTCTAAGTGCAACTTATTCAGATAGCCCACCACCTGTAGACAATGCATTCCCCATAGAAATGGAATTATCTCAGATAAACCTTGAGGATACATCTGCCACTAGCAAGGAAACAAAGGGAGACTCAACATCATTGGATTCAAGTGTGATCTCTGAAGTCCCGGTCCAAGGAGAAGATGGTGCTGCAGTGTCAGAGTTGGAACAGGGAATGCTAGAAGCAATGGGAGAAGAGGACTTTACTCTGGTAAACTCTGTTGAAGATACTGAGAAGGCTTTGGATGAAATCATTAAAGGATGGACCTTTACAGAAAAACCTATTTCAACACGTGACTCAGAGAATGCTGCAAAGTTGGGGTCTGAGCAGGCGGACATTGAAAAGGTCCTGGGAGGAGAGGTCGATATGTCCCTTGCTTCCACTGTTGCATCTTCTCAGGATGACTGGCTGCATGTAGCCAATGATAAAGACAATGATAAAGACAATGATAAAGACAGTGAACTAACGGAAATAAACTCAAGGAAGGAAATGAGGGACGAAGAGTTGGACTTTGGCTTTGAGTCTGTAGATGTAGACACTGGTTGTTTACAGGAGGAAAGGTAAGATTAGTCGGTCCACATTTATTTGTGGGGTGGGGGTGTAATCATATCTCACTAACGCTGCACAATAGAAATTCTCATTTCCATTCATTTTTTCGAATGATCTAATATGGTATTTTTAAAAGGCTTCAATTGTGAAAATCATCAATAAGCAGTGTTTTGCTTTTCATCAAATTAATTATCAAATATTAGTTGAACTTATCTCTTGCTTTGCTTTGTTTTTGTGTGTCTTTCCAGGAAAAGAGAGAAGTCAGCTGCTGCCATCCATCGAGGGGGTGAGCCAACGACACCTCAGAAAATACCTGCAGATGGGGCTGCCTCTATGGAAGTAAGTTGCACTTATCAATAAATATATATTTTTAAGATTGATCAGAAACTGTGTATAAGAATATATCACCTGACAATTATCCCTAACTTTGCAATTCCCTTCATCTTAAAGAAGATCATTAGCCTCTTTGCGTTTTTTGTTTTGGTTTAATTACCTGCAAACTCTATTGCAATCAACCTAATTACCAGCAGCAGAACATGTTGATGAACCTACTATCTACGTTCCCAGCACCAAACAGCAGGCAGACACAGTTAGTGACTTGGCTTACTGTGGTAGACACATTACCATTGTTACATTGTGTTGGGCTATAGACAGAATAAATAACTTGCATTTGGCAAGTGTCTTTGTCTCCAAAGTGACAAACACACCATTATGTAATAGTCTTTATTCAGTCACAGGCTCTAGCTCACTTAATAGTTTGGGGATTATTTGGTCTTAAATGTAATTAACATTTCAATAATTCACAATAATTGTCATTTTGTGTGTTCTAGGGCTTTTCGCCCAGTCCCAGCTTAGTAACATCCAGTCAGTCTCTACTTGACTGGTGTCAGGAAGTCACACAGGGTCACAAGGGATTGAAGATCACCAACTTCAGCACCTCCTGGAGAAACGGCCTCGCGTTTTGTGCCATCTTACATCACTTCCAACCAGAAAAGATGTAAGAAACATTTGAAAATACTCGGTCCAAAGGTAAAGATTTGATTTTAATCTTCTAAATTCACCATTTATTTTGTCTTTCTTTGTGTAGTAATTATGAAATGCTGGACCCCTATGACATCAAGATCAACAACAAAAAGGTGAACTGTTAAATACATTTCTAACACAACCTTACAGTAATGTCTTTGCATGTGGTAATTCCTAATCTGATCTATTTTTCTCCATTTGGCAGGCTTTTCATGGCTTTGCAGAACTAGGCATATCGAGGCTAATGGAGCCTTCGGACATGGTCATGCTAGCAGTGCCTGACCGCCTCATTGTCATGACCTACCTCAACCAGATCCGCACCCATTTCACGGGCCAGCAGCTCAGTGTGCTCCACATAGAAAGGGACAGCAGCGAGTCCAGCTATGCAGTAGCAGGGGACAGGGATGTTCAAGAGGACCCAGAGGCCACCGCTCGCTACTGCGCCCAGAGGCTACAGGAGGGGGGCAAAAGTCTGGAGACCAATGGGACTGCAGCTGCAGCAGAGTCGGACAGTAACACCGGGGAGGTCCTTCCACCTCCCAGAACCAAACGGGTTGCTGGAGCAGGTGGGGCTAAGTTACCAGTGGCCCCACCAAGGACTCACTTCCTGTCCAAGACTGGTTTCTCTCATGTCAAAGACGCTGATCTGGTCAAGAAGCGTAGGTCACAGCGAAGGAGTGGGTCATTAGAAGAAGGAGACATATCAGTGGTATTGTACCTACTCGTTTATCCCTTTTTATTCTTATCATTACATTTTTCTCTTTTACTTATCTGTAATATATAACTTTTTGTGTCTGCAGGTTGTTGAGGGGCAAGAAGACAGTATAATCAGTCGGAGGAAGTCGGACACTGGTTAGTCCAATTCAAGAACAACTGTCATATATCCATCTTGTTATTTATGTTAAAGATTCTTCTGGTGGTGTTCCCTTTCCGGTTTTGGACATCAAAGCATGTAAACATGTCACAGTAGAGGCACAAAATACAAATATCAACTTTTTTTTAAATAGTATTTGGACGTGTCAATTTGTGACGTATTTCCATTGTTTAATTCAAAGTTGTTCAGCATTGATTCATCCTTACAGTAAGGTTCTTTTCATGCATTCAATGCATTTCTAATTAAAATGCAATCACTTTGTTGCATATCTACTCTTATCCAATACATCTTGTGATCATCTTACAGAGAGAACAGAGGCTGTGTTTGAACCAGAAGGCCAGGTCAGTACGGTTTGTTTCATTGTAGGGTTATATATCTAGAACTGACTCCAAGTGTATGTAGGTCATTGTGTTTTGGTGTGTGTGTGTGTGTGTGTGTGTGTGTGTGTGTGTGTGTGTGTGTGTGTGTGTGTGTGTGTGTGTGTGTGTGTGTGTGTGTGTGTGTGTGTGTGTGTGTGTTTTAACACATCCAGGACCCCAGCCAGTATGTGCTGAGTCAGATGGAGGCCCTGGAAGCGGAGCAAAATCATATTGATAACAGAGCGGGTGTGGTCGAGAGGAAACTCAGACAACTGCTAGAAACAGGTAGGATAATCGTAAAGTATTTTATAGCTACACATGTGTGCACCATATATGACATGCATTACGAGTTATGGATTATCAAGTCATATTTATGGAAATGAAATACGCATTGTACTTATTTATAGGAAGAAATTGTTTTCAAAGAATAACGTGTCATTTGAAGGCCCAATTACTACAGGATATTGTGCATGTCACCAAATGTTCACATTTTCCCGTATTACAATAGTAAAAGCCAACATTTACAAAAATAAATGATACATTTTGATGTTAGCAGTTCTGATCGTACTACTGCATTAACCTAATTAGAAAGTAGTAGTAGAAGGGCTATAAATGACAGAGTTGTAATGTCATTTCTCCTGCAGGCAGTGACAAGTTGGAGGAGGAGAGGTTGATTCAGGAATGGTTCATGCTTGTCAACAAGAAGAACGCTTTAATCAGGAGGCAGGACCATCTGCAGCTGCTGTAAGATTCCACACACCGCTGGAAATATGTGTAGTATACTATTCAATGTACAGTACATATACATCTCATTGCATGGTCCATTAGTACCAGTTGTGGCGCTTCTGATAAATTCGTTTTTTCTTGTCATGCATGTTGTAATGCATCTCTTTTGATTGACAGGCTGGAGGAACAGGATTTAGAAAGAAAGTTTGAGCTGTTAAACAAAGAGTTGAGGGACATGATGGCGATGGAAGGTAAGACTTTAATGCTTAACGTACATTGCCTTAACAACATGCTGGAAAAAAGTGAATTTATTTATCAAATGTGGATAGAGAATTTCTTGCAAGAAAGTCCAGTCAGTCACACAGAGAGCATACAGTCTGCAGAGTGAAAGATGAAGAGTAGAGTTTGGGTTGCATGTTCAAACACAGATAGAGGAGAAAGGGAGGGGGGAAGCTTGGGGATAATGAAAGGGGAAGTTAGGGAGTTAGGGAGGCCATGTCAGGATGCTCTCAGTTCACCTGAGGTGAAGGTCATACTGTTGGTGCACATAGAGTGAAACTAACAACACTGCAACACATCTTCTTAATAAGGAATTGTCCCAAGTTTAGCAAAGAAGTGTGAGAAGTAGCAAATATAGATTAACATTAGCAAATAAGAATCACACAATGATATTATTAAAGTAAGTAAGTGAGTATAATATGTTTCGATTACAATGCTCATACTGTAGCCGTGTGCTCTTCTTGACTTTCTGTCTCATTCCATGGAATTCAAATGCAAAGTCTCTATAATCATTTAGGAAGTGCTTGAAATATGTGTGACTGCTTCTCTTTCGTTATTTCTAAAACCTCCTGCCTTGACAATGCCAACATACTCTATATAACTTCTTCTTTTAACAATGGATAAAGTTGATGGGCAGCTTTCTGGGGATTGGAGCGTTTCCCCCAGAATGTATAAAATGGGGTTCAACTTAGCACTAAAAATCATAAGAGCTTGTTAATTGAATGATTTCAAACTGACCAAAGTTGGCCAAAACAAAGTTACTTTTAATTAGTATATGCACTAGTATATGTACAATGCAGTCTCATCCATAGATCCATTTGGCTGCTAATAGCTAATACTTCACAGGGAACCTTAAACATTATTTTTAAGACGTTCCCTGATTCCCTGAGAGGCCAAAATAAATGTTCTTGAAGAACAGATTACACCTTTTTTTTTGTTTAAACAGGTGGGGCAATACTGAACTAGATGCAGTAACACTTTTGACAGGATTCTTTTTAAAGCAAATACAGGTGTAAAATGTATAGGCCTATGTATATTTTGAAGTGTATGTTGTTGTAATACTCATTCCGACCACAAGAGGCTGAGTGCACCTCTACCCCACGTTGTACATAGATAAAAACATTCATATGTTAATAATATAAGTTTTAGGGCGTCTGTGTGTTTAAGTGCAAACTAGTTATTTTCCCCCAAAAACTATTTTTGATCATCATTTCATATTGTTCTTTTTTTATTGTTGTAATACTGTGAGCCATGTTCATCTCTGAATATATATTTTTTGCACAAATTTTTTTTGCACAGCCCTCCATTTTAAAATATAACACATTGCAGATTGTCATGTATTGCACTTTTGCAAGTTTTTTAGATTTTTCATTTATTTAGTATATTTGAATTTGGTGTAAATACTTCTCTTTATTCTTTTTGAATGCTAAATAGTTTTCTTTTTAATATTTTCTCTTTATAATAGTTATATCTTTGACCTTCTCTTACAAATGTAAGATCTTATTTCCTTGTGTTGTTTATGTTTGCATAATCATTCACTATACCTGTAAAGCGTTAACAAAATAAATCTACTATTATTATTATTATTATTATTATCATACGCCAAAGCAAAGTCCTTGTGTGAACATACTTGGCAATAAACCTGATTCTGATTCTGCAAATAATACCTGCACAGCTCCAAGTTGTGATGTTCTCTTTGAAGCTTATCATTCTCTCTCTTTTTTTCTCTCTCTCTGTTGTCTATGCAGAGTGGCAGAAGAGTCAGGACCAGAGACACAGAGAGCAGCTGCTACTCCAGGAGCTGGTGTCCCTGGTCAACCAGAGGGACGAACTGGTCCAGAACATAGACGCCAAAGAGAGAGGGTGAGACACACGAACAGTGGGGTGACCTGTCTTTATCATTTGTCCCACACATGTAGCCCATGTCCTGCATTTGATTGACAGTTGCCCGTCTTAAACTTGGCTTTAATCCAATGGCTGTGTAGAAGACAGGAGAGCGCATCACCATCAGCTGTATCAGAGGGTAACTTAACTCATGGGTGTAGTCTGTGGAGGGCGACTCACTGGAGTTTTCCAGACATTTGCCAGAGTTTTGTTTCAATTGTGCATGGAGGGCAATACGATTTGAAGCAACACTACCTGCGAAACTCACAGAAAGATAGATCAAATAAATATATTGCCAGGATTTTATTTTAAGTGACTACAGGTGTAAAAAAATGGAGTGTTTTGAAACATTTGCCAGAGTTTTGGTGAATCCGGTTTGATGCTTCATGCACAACTCAGAGAAATGCCCGGCTCATAAAGAAACATATAGATCTATGGATACATTCCTTGTGAAACTAAAAGAGGATAACAAAGCAGACAACGTAACCGTCTGCTGAAATAGTGAACATTGACCACGCTGTGCAGCACTTTTAGTCACACAGGTCAGGTCTTCCAAAAGAACACAGAAATATTTACGGACGATAGTTTGTTAGGAAAAATCCATTCAAACCAAATATATTCCTTCACTTTTTTGTGCAAACAATTAAACCCTAGTGAAGCATTGTTGTTAATATTTATAAGCTTTTAGTTTCAATAGACATTTTTGTTGGACAGACATCGTATTTAAATCTAAGCTACCTCTTGTCCTTGCAGTAACATGTCCCGCATTGTCCCGCTCATACGTACTCTTTGTCCCACATGTGGCATGCTGGCACCTGGTAATAAAGTCTGTCTGTTGGGTGGGGAAATATGGGTGGTACATCAGTTCATGCATACATAGACCCCTCTCTCCTCTTCCTCAGGGCTGTGGAGGAAGAAGAGCGCCTGGAGCGAGGCCTGGAGCAGCGGAGGAGGAAGTACGCCAAACAGCAGAAAGAAAAGTGTGTGATGCAGTGATTCTGTCAGCCTCCAGCAACAAAACGGTCTCACTACCTGAAAGAAAACGGGGAAGACACAACCAGGAACGGTGCGGTCGTGTTGGTTCCCCTGCTGTCAGGCTGATTGGTGTGGTTTTAAGTCGGCAGTCAGAGGATATTTATACACAGGAAGTTAAATGTGATCAATAGGAGCTGGATGTGTTTCCAATGGAGACTCGGATGGCCCCAAACCACAGAGAGGCTATGTTTAGGCTCTGTAACGACATTTTATTTTGGTTTGTTTCCCCTTTTTAAATGTGCAATCAAAGTGGGCAGTAGATTTATTTCCTCAAATTCAATGTCCATGTCCATTTACCTAACCCAGGATTCAGCACCCGTTGAGCAGAAGCCCTTCAGAGCCTTCACCGAGCTGCTTGTTCATCCGGACCGTGTGCTTTGCTGTGTTTATAGTGACTAACAGATCGTGAAAGTGTGTTTGATAAAAAGTGTCTGTATGAGACTGTAAATGTTTGGGAGAGATAAGAGCTGGCTACGGCAGGAGAGAGTCGGTTGTTATTAAGGTTCGGCAGCATTTCTGACATGTTGTGAATTTTAGCTGCAGACTACCTAGTGCCAGACCATTCATAAAATCAGAGATTCAGCAGTTCCTGGTGACTGTTAATCACGGCAGGGTCAGAAAGCCCTTCAAAAATACCATATTGAATAGCAAATCTCTCACAATGTAACGCTATAACACACTGCTGTTACCTCCTGAAACCATTTCTATCAATACTTTTGGATCCTGGATCTGGATAAGGTCTGTTTAAAGGGACAGTTTACGTACAAAAAAAAACGTAAAACATTTTTTCACAGCACAGAAGAAAGCATGCGAGCAGCTCAAGGTTGCGTGAGCTATCTTACGTCACAGCTCCCCTGAACGGACGACTGTCCCTTTAATTCACATTTAAAAACAGCAAGGTTCAGAAAGCAGATTGTAGTTAAGGGTAAAAAAGGACTTAAGGTTATAGACAGATTTTGATCTTGTTGAGTGAGTACAACAACGTGTGTGCAAAAACAAGTATAGGTCACCAAAATTGCCTTATTAAAGGATGTTTTACATTATGAAAACAAACGTTTAACCACCCCTGTTTTAGGCCAGAATTTTAACGCATGGCAAATTCCATTGAGAATGAATTTCGCTCATGTCCTCTCCATGTTTGAATATTTTCATTGTTGAAAAAATACATTTAAAATGTTACGTTTAAATGTTTGCATCCTATTGTATGATAGGATAACGTTGCAAATTGAATGCAAGGATAAGAAAAGCAGCCATGGGACGGATCAGATATTCTAAATAACTTATTGGAATGATTTAAAGTTTTACTATTTATTCAAGACAACTGTAAAATGGTAATTGTTGTAACCAAAGCCATCGCTTAGTGCAGCATTTCAATGTGTAGAGAATGTTCACACAGGAGCATGTGTCCTCTCTGTAAACTGATTCAAATCATGACATTGATATTTCTATAGACTTGTACATTTAGGATGTTTCTTTTGCCGACTATTAGGAAAATGTTCTGATACGTGTTTGTTTCAAAACATTCAATGAGTCCTGACATTTATTTTTCCTATTCAAGAAATTCGAAATACTTTTACATTATGCAAATGTCTTTTTTGTAATTGAAAGCAGAAGATGTGAATGTCTCTCATGATCTTTGTTAGCGCAATATCAACATTAGCTTAAAGTGTTGTTGCACTTTGACTTCAGTACGAGGATGTTCTGTGATGTTTTAGGCCTGAGGTTTTGTTTTACTTTTTAAAGTTTGCAGTTCTCATGTTTCCAAAATCTCTGGTGCGAGCAGCTCCGTGCACCTCGTGTGTGAAGTGGTTACAACCTGTTTAAATGATTGCTATTTTTTGTGGTTTTAATGTTGCACTTGCACTATTTGTAAAGTCTGGAAAATACAAATGATTGAATGCCTTATTTCATCTCATGGATTTTTATCTCATGGATTTTTATTTAATAGAATGTATACTTTCGCATTATATTGATATCATGAATTGATAAAGGGTTTGTTCAGCGTGGGGAAGTGCTAATGTTGGTCTTTTAGCTGCACTGAAACATGTATGACTTTAATGAAATTTATTATGTCAACAAATTACACATAATTGTATTAGATTAGTTGAAAGAAATATTAACTTTAAATAAAAAAACATTAGGCTCAACCTAACATTATTGCATTCAACTAACTTAATACAAATTATGAGTTACAAGTTGGCATTAAAGTCAACGTTTTAGTTTTTTCAGTGTGTTTTTTAAAGGTTGTAATTCCGAGCATATCTCTGTAATTGAGGCCTCCACATGGCGATGGCTAATCAGCTAGCTAGCAGCTAACGGCGCTAACAGCACGAACTACAACTGACAGAGCTTAAAGTGTTCTGGGAACTCATCAGGTATTGGCTGACTTTCATTTAACTTCTTAGTAGTCAAAGAAATAACTGTTAAAGGTCCCATGACTCATGGCCATTTCTACTGATCATAGTTCCATTGTTGAGGTCTACTAGAATAGATTTACATTGTTCAATGTTCCAAACTCACATTGGTTTCTCATACAGCATCTCTGTAAAGTATGCTTATTCACTCTCTGTCCTAAACGGCTTGTTGGAGCTCCTGCCCCCCCTGCGGATTGGTCCATTTGGGCCTGGGCAGGTCTTCTCTGTGTTAGAGTTTTACTCGCTACAGGGTGTACTTTGAGGGTTTGTGACTCTGCAGAACGTTTACATGCACAAGCTACAGAACACAAGGGGACGAGTAATAACCGGAAAAGCACGACATGGGCCCTTTAACTGAGTCTAAACTAGCTAGCTGGACATGTTTCTCCAACTCCATTCTTGTGTTTTAATTGCTAATCTTCCATCAGAGGCTAAATTGTCATCACACTTATATCACGTAGCTTGGCATTGAAAATGGCATTAGCATTTATTTGGAATCAGGTTTCTGGCCATCCAAGTCCAATGTTCTTTTTAAGTTCTTCTTTCCGTCCGTTCAAATCAGCTATTTCCCAACCTTTTCTCTGTTCAACTATTACCGCTGAGCTGTTTTAATCTTCTGAGAACAGCTTCCTCCTGCTGCTGGACACAAGTTTCATAAGAGTACTTGGAATCAACTACATGATAAGTGGGCTCAAAACAAAAGGAAGTTTTTAAAAGTGGTCAACCCTCAACAAATGTCTATTTGATTTAATGAGAAATGTTTTGTAATGAAAATGCCAGTTTCTCATTCCATTGAATGATATGATGACACTCTTTAGGTGTTAGTGGCTGTGAGTGTGTTTTCAGTTGCAGACAAATAAATGAGAGATCTTATCTGTAGGTTGATGTGCCAGCGCTGCAATGTAGACGGAACAAAACATGTCTTACAATGAGGTTCAAACTGCAGTAAGTTAACATTGTGTACTCTTTTCAGTCCTCAGTTTATTTGAGGGTGAAAAATACTCTTTAAAAATGCATGACAGAAAGCTACAATTATTTAAAGTCAGCATTACCAAAGAGATAGAAAATAGAAATAGGAAGTGAGAAAGTCTTGCCCAATACTGCCCATAAAGGATTTTGGCTTTGGGAACTAAAACTAAATACAGATGTTTTTTTTAGGGTTAGGGTTTAGTAATAGTATACAAGAACTAAATACTTGTATACTAGAGCTTAATTCAAAGAAATTACAGTTTATTACAATTGTCTTTATGCATTGAGAATTAAAACTTGTTAATGAATTTGTGTACAATTCAAATTTTTAAAATGATCGTCATTATCCAAAAGTGTCTGTATTTGGAGAAAAACACTATTCAGATGTAATGTGTATATATATATATATATATATATAGTAAGGATATCAGTGTGTTCTGAAGTATACTGTCTTATTGTATCGTCAATAGCAATAATAGAGGAACTCCAGTGTGGGAGGCGACATTCCTCTGAGTCCAATCATTATAAGGAAATGTAAACATTGTTTCAGTGACTCCCTCAGTGCAGACTGACAGGCTGGATGTGAACTCTGGCAGGCGTAGATTATGATACTCATTTCTAACACACTGTAAACATGGCTGTTAGTAACACTACACTGTTTACACCCCGGTGTGTTTGGCATACTTTACTCCTATTGTGGATCCTGCTGTGGGAAGCCGGCTGTGAAAACCAATACCAAGCAGAGGAGGGTGAGTGTTTCACATTTAATTATTTGACACAAATGTATAATCGTATATTTAATCTCTGTGGGACATTACACTGGTTGTCAGAAAGTGGAACATTTTCTAACTGTTGCCTCTGCACACCCTAAACCAAAGAGTTAGTGCATAAGTAAAAATAGAGTTAACTTCCCTTAGACAAAGGTAGCCTATTATTGATGTTAAATTACAGTATTGTGTTTTTCAAAGATGATATAGTATATTGAGCGTGTTATATTGTCTAGTGTGAAGGCAGTGATAGAAGAAGATCTTATGAGCAATAAAGCACGGAAGGTTAACAAAAATGCTTGCAAACTTATTGTGACATCATCAGCAAAAGGTTAGTTTAAGCTTTTTAAGCAGCATTTTAATGTTGGAGCTGTGGAGGCAATTTAATACTGTTTGTTACGTTATAACACCTATAACAATCTGCAAACCAATCATTTGTTTTGTATATAAGATTCGTCCTTTAAACGTACAATAGTACAGTATTTAGCAGATTTACTTTGCAACATGTTGCCATTTCTTATCTGCAGTCTGTGGTTCAACCCCATCATGTTTACAGTCTGAGCTGATGGGAAAGTACCAAGGATCTTTACCTGACAAAAACATGATTTTATTTATACAGGTTTTATATACAATCCATCAATTGATCATGTGACTTCAAGAGGGAAATATATACAGTATATACATTACCATAAATGTAAGATACATAACAACCGTCTTTCTTAACTTTACAAAATATTCAATAATTGTATTTGATCATTGTTAGGAAGTGTTTTAATTGGTTGAAATTAATGATAGGTCGTCTTTTTTGACCTCATTTTTTTACAGCAGTCGATTGAACTCTATTATGTCTTCTAATAGCGACAGACCTAACTCATTCATATGTCAATTTGGACTTAACACTTAATATCTTTCCTTTAACGGAAACATTCTGGTAAGATTTCCATTTTGTTTTGTTTGTGCAAATGTTATGCAACTAAAATCAATGTTATTGCAACTGTAGAAAGAGGAAGCACCCTCATAAGGAAAAGCTGAAAGCATTTAGGAAATTGCTATTGTTGTACTAAATCAAAAGAAGCCAGTACTAAAGGAAATATGTGACCCCAAGTAATGATCCAGCACAAATGTTACGATTCTTTATTCTTTATAGATGTTTTTTTTTCTTATGAAACGCCTGTTGTCATTTTGAAAATGTCCAGCATAATTAAACAGAGTGTGTTGTTTGCTCTCTCCCTGTTTAGTGGAGATTTTCCATTCTGATAAACAGAAATCATTGGAATGGAAATCTGAGCCAAACGAAGGGGTAAGACGGGATGTGAAATGACACATTTTTGATCATTCTAATGCTTGTTTCATGCGCAGTAAAAGGTTTAATCCATCACTAAATAATGACGATACAAGATTGGACACAATGTTAAATGCTAACTAAACACGTCAGTGTATTTACTCTAGCTGTGTTACCACGTGTGAAACCTGCCTGTGTTTCACATAACGAAATATAACTTAAATCATAGGATATGAATTTGGGAATTTGACCAAGATGTCATTCAACAAGAACTCCCAGTTAATGAATAATCACTGTTCAGACAACATCATATTGGGTCGAATGATTAGTACCTTATTATTTATTTGCTTATTCCACTTTGTTGAGTCCCATCAGGATTTTGTGAACCTGTAGTTCTACTCTGCAGCTTTTCAGCAAGTATACATTGTTTACATGTTGTTAGTTTTTGGCCGGCCTATCAAAGTATACTGACTTAAATTATGTTTTTTAATCCGTATATTAATATCATATATTCAATAGAAATACTCTAGGTATACGTAGATACGTACATGTGTACTGTTCTGTTTTGTATACTTTTTGGTCTACATTGCTGCTATGATCAAATGTTTTCCCAAACTGGTATCAATATGTTATCTTATCTTCCCTAACACCCCAGTGGACTTCAGTTAACCTTGCTTCAGTCCCTGTGCTTCAAGCTTGTGCAAGGCGCATGACAAGAGCTGTTTTAAGCCCGTGGATGGAGCGGAAAGATGCCCACTACATACTGATGGATATTTCCTTAGCCCAAGAACAACAGCCGTCTGAACAGCTGAGCCCACTACAAGTTCACTTTTTTGACAAAAATACACCAATTACAAGGTTTCAAAATAGTTTGACCGTCCTGAATCTTAACACCTCCAGGCCTTTCCCTGTCAATGCAGTCCTGCTATCCGGATACTTTGAGCGCAGACTGGCTCTGGGCCTGGGCCCCGTCAGACAGACAGGCTTCCAGCTGGCCTTCTCCTACTCTGGAACATGTGTGCTGCTGACATCCATCAGACTGTACTACAGGAGGTGCCCTGACATCGTTAGTAACCTGGCCTTGTTTGAAGGGACGGGGGCTGCGTCGGGTGACCTGAGGGGCTCCTGTGTGAACGGAGCTGTGGAGGTTTCTCCTCCTGTTAGAGAGTGTGAGGCGGATGGAGAATGGGGTCCAGAGCATGGAGGATGTAACTGTAAACCCGGCCATCAAGTCATGGATGACACATGTCGAAGTACGGAGATTAACTTTTTCAATTACATTACTTTAAAATATGCTGCTTTACTGATGACTAGAGAATACAATTAGATAGAAGACAGACAAGTCAGAGGAGGAGTTATGTTTCCTGACTGTACGCTTCCTAAAAGCTCCAAAGATCTGCTTGATAGATTTATTTACTTAGATTTATATATATACCGTATATATATATATATATAACATATATATTTATATAACAGCTTTAGCTCAAACTGTGTATGTCCGCCAGTGTCAAGTGTCAAGTGTCAGTGTCAAGACATGTGATTTTTTACTTTTACACAAAATGTTCTGTTCACTATATAAAAATTAATCTAAAAAGGACAATTAAAAGATCCTTGTCAGAAATAATCTTTGTTCGCAATGTTTACATAAAAAATGAACTGATATATAAAACCAGGGTCATTCAAGTAACCAACCACACACACACACACACACACACACACACACACACACACACACACACACACACACACACACACACACACACACACACACACACACACACACTATACCACCATAGGTGCAAAAGGAAGCGTCTTTAGGTAGCCCTAATACATAA